ATTAAAAAATTTGAATTAAAAAATTACACAAAAATGAGAAATTTTAAATAGTTAATTTGATACTAATATTGATATAATTTTATCAAAATTTTGTGATATCTTAAAATATATATATTTTAATAAAAAATAAAAACATCATCGTTTTTTCAAAATCACACAATATCATATTATAACATCGATTGAGATAAAAAAAATAAAAAAGATATTAAAATCAAAATGTATCTCGCTGCATTACGCGAGTACCATTCTAGTTTAAAATTAAGGAGATAACATACTTTAACAAAAAAAAGGTGTTTTATCTTGGATTTTCCGTGGTTAAAATTTAAAATTTGTAAAATTTAGGATTAAAAATATAATTAGTTCTTTTTGTTGGATTATTTTGGTCATGAACCGAGGGTTCGTTTAAACCGGTTAGTTACGTAATCAGTTTCGTTGAAGCCAGAACCGGTTCATTTAAACCGGTTATAGGTTGTTTGTTTACCCCTTAATAGTTTTATTAAGAGACAAACTCTGAATCATTATGAGGTGAATCTTATTTGGCAAAAAAAAAAGTCTGCCTCTTAATGGTTCTAAAACCCTCTAAATGATTTTGTATCATCGACTTCTTTTAACCGTTAAGAGCCCTAATTTCATTGTAAACAATTACCAAATAATTATATTTCATTTTGCATTATATCACATTCTAAACACTTAATCATTCTACACAAAACCATTCAACAACTACCAAATAGGTCTTTAGTTACGTAATTAGTCCCGTTTAAACCGGTGGTTCTGACTGACTCGGTATAATCTTCTTTTAGACGATCAGTATGAATGGGAAAAAAATGCGGGAAATCTGATTAACAATCGAATACCAAAAACCCTATGTTTTAGGGTTTTTGTTTAAATGGAGTCGCCGGAAGATGAATCCCTAACAACTCAAAGTAAAATTCTCTCTCTCTCTCTCTCTCTCTCTCTCTCAATTGATTGAAATCTGCATTGTTTTATATATTTATGATATAATTATTTAGGAAAAAAGAGGTGTTTCCAGGGAGTTCGTCGTGGATTGAAGCTAAAATTAGAGGTTAATCGGTCCCTGAAACGCAAGGATTGAGATGAATAAGCGAAACGAGGTAAGAATTTAGATCAATGTTGGTTAATTTACTGATTATTTTCCTGCGCTTTTTGGATTTTTCTATTGTTGAACATTAGTATACATACTTCCATGATGCAAATTGCAATCGTTTTTCAAAGTTAGAAGGCTGTAATTAATCAACAAAGGGCATCAATTCAACATCTTAATAGGTTTCAGCTTCTCTTTCATAGCTCAAAATTAACTTGGGCTGCAGTAAAACTATTCAACCAGAAGGGGATCAATAAATTGTGGTCATAACCCAATCAATGCAATTAAAAGAACACCCAAATTTCAAAATTTCGGAAAATACTTTCTCTATTAATTATCGTATTTTGATTTCAAATGTCAATCAATTGTTCACATTAACTTTTCTGGCATCCAAGTCTGTTTTCTTGCCTATTAAGTAATGATAACATGATATTGGTAACATTGGTCTTACCCCACTTTAACAAATGCTAGTGAGTTGTACTTTAAGTATTTGTTGGTAAACCACAAGGGTTGTGGTGTAGTGGTTGAGGTCCTTGGGAATGTGGTGGAATATCCCATTTGCCCAGGGTTCGATTCCAGACGTACACAACAATTGTGGCCACTGAGACTGATTTCCTGCAGTCACAATTTGCCGGGATTAGTCCGGGCATAGCCTAGGACACCCTTCCAGAAAAAAGTATTTGCTGGTATACTACTACAATCTGGTGCTGTTTTTGTGTCTTGTTTTCCAGTGATCTGTTACAGTTAAGCTTTTTTGTACTAATCAAAGCCTTCCTCTATTCTTAAAGTACCATTATCTCATCGGCATTTGGTGGCATAACTAGGTTCAGTGGATGGCCCTTCTAATTCTTATGATGCGAAAGATTATTATGGGTTCTTATGCTCATCATGTGATTTTGCATTCTCATTTTAAAAACATATATTTTCCTACTGGCATTGAAGCTTCCCTTCCATGGTTTTTTGATTCTATCAAATTGATAAACAAGATGACTTCTACAATGCAAGATATTTGATTGCTTCTGCAACTGAAAGGCCAAATATGTCAGCAATAGGTTGTCCGAGCTTGCATACACTGTCGCTGAGGTCGTCTGATGAGCCTGCTAAACATAAACACACATCACTTAGTACCAGTAGCACTACTTGTGCTAGTCTACAGTTACAAAGGGATGCAAAAAGGGTTCAATCTCTAAAGAAACAACTTAAAACAAGGTGCCACAAATGTCATCTGGTTCAGGAGCCAGTAGTTCCCATCATGAACATGGCCATATTATGGAAGACGTGAAAGTGGACCAAGATTCAGGAATAGTGGGAAGTTGCTCTAAACTCGGCAATGTTCTGAGGAAGGATGAGAACTTCAAGAAGTTTGACATTGTTGAGGACATTTCAGATCATCATTATGCAGCTCGGAGGCCAGCATCAATGTTGCAGGCTAGTGTAGTTATAATTTAACTTGTTTCAAAATTTGCTACCTTTTATCCATCTTTCACTTTTAAATCTTGTATAATTTTTGCAGCCAATGAAAACCTGGGCTAGAAAGATACGAGAAGAATGGAGGATTCTCAACAAGGACTTGCCTGGTCTGTTCTTTTAGTTTCTTACAACTTGTTTTCTTCTCTTTACCTGTTTCTTGGTCTTAACTTTTTCTCTTGCAAGATTGGGGAACTTGGGTTGGTTTACTTTTGTTGATAATAGAAGTTATTATTAATCTTTGAAATTACTGTATTCTCCTCCCTCTACAATTTGTGTCTGCTATATTGTTACCAGTGGCAGACCTATGCTATATATAATCAGGGGCAAGGCCCCCTGTGAACTCCCAAAAACCATCTATGGGGAGAGAGTTTTCTATGGTTTTTTCTTTTGCTTCCTTTGGTGCCCCCATCAACCCCCCTCCCCCTCCCTTACAATTATATGAAGAAGGATGTGTTTCTTTTACTACATTTGTTACAAATTAGTTATGTGTAAAATGTGAATTTGTTACAAATTAGTTTAGTGGTCTATTCTTTTAACCATCTGGTACATTATGAATCATTCGAATTTTGTTATTCGGTTTAACCGAAATTGTAAGAAAATAACTGAAATTTAAACTGAATAAGTTACCTTTATTCTGTTAACAGAACCATTTTGGTTCGTTTGAGTTCTTCTGTTTCAAATTTTTTTAACATCTTCACATGTTCCCCCAGTCGCCTAAGTTCTAGATTCCCCACTGATTGTTACCTTCTAGACCCAACTATTTTTGTTATTTGGTTACAGATACGATATTTGTTAGGGTTTATGAATCAAGGATGGATCTTTTAAGAGCCGTGATAATGGGTGCAGAAGGGACGCCATATCATGATGGTCTTTTTTTCTTTGATGTCTGCTTCCCTAGCAACTATCCGTTTTCTCCGCCTGTATGTCGTCTCTCCATCTTTTTCCACTTCATCCTGTGGCTTGATTCCATATGATAATATCTAGTGTTCTAAAAGGCGCGCCATGGTGACTGCTGTGACACCAGGCTCGTCTCTGAAGCCTCGTTAATCTCCATGGGCCATGGTATGCCATGGTTGATGCACATTTTTTATGGTGTTATTTGATCCTTTTTACTTTTAATTTCTTGATTGTTTCCTGATATAAAGCGTTGATCATAATTAATGAACTCTAATCATCTTCCATGAATATCCAAATCATAATAAATGAAGCCTCATCGTTTCCATAAATGTCTCAATTGATTGGGTTGCATTGGTTGTACAATTGAGATAGGTTGCATTTGAAACGTCTTCTCTCTATATATATAATACATAAATTAAAGCTATGGACTCGCCCTGGCTCTTAGGCTTGAGGCTTGACCTCACCGCCACACCTAATACCATATAGAACGCTTTATCCTAGGTTTGATATCACATGATAATATCTGATGGGTATTAAATGATTCTTTTCAGGAAGTTTACTATCACTCTGGTGGCTTACGTATAAATCCGAATCTCTATCACAGTGGGAAAGTTTGCTTGAGTCTTCTACACACTTGGCGTGGTTTCGGTAACGAAAAGTGGATACCTGGTTCTTCGACAATACTCCAAGTTTTGGTCTCTATACAGGGTCTGATTTTGAATGCAAAGCCCTATTTTAACGAACCTGGATTCGCACAATTGCGTGGCTCTGTTAGTGGAGAAAAGATGTCGATGCAATACAATGAGCGAACTCTAGTTCTGTCTCTCAAAACTATGGTCTACATTATGAAGAAGCCACCAAAGGTATGATAGCAATGGCTATACATATATGATGCTTATCTTATTTAAAACCAAACCAAGGAAAATCTGTTATTCACCCGAAGGTAGAGTGGGTTGGGGGATGTATGCAGACCTGACCTTTACAAAGTAGCAGACCCCCGGCTTGTGAGAAGTGTGAAAAAAAAAATTAGAATATCCCCCAAAGAAATAGAGGAAGAACCAAACGGTTAGGGTTTGAAACATACCTGAGATTAGAAAACGAAAAAAAATCGTGTTAGAAGTCAAATACAACACAAGCAAAACCACACTTCCCGAGTCTAACGTAGGACTCTGCTTCCGGGTTCCAATTCTAATCCTAGCACTGCCAAAGCCATGGAGGTTCACCTATGATGACTCTAGGCAATTCGTGGTCGTGTGGGGGATTAGTCGGGGATCGTAGGTTGGCTTGGAAACCCATGTTTACCCAAAAATACATAGGACTCTGCTAACCTAATGTTGACTCACTACTGTGAGCTTTAGGGTCCTATGGGATTAGTCGAGGTGCATGCAAACTGGTCCGGACATCCATAGATACCTATAAAAAGATAAAACAATACTAGGACTTAGGGGCGGTGCAGAAAGTCAATTGATCCAATTAGAATTGACGGACCATAATTGGATATCCAATTGTAATTGAATCGGAACGAATTAAAATTTTCAACATTCAATTTGGAACGGTGGCTTATTGGATGGGAGTCCAGATGCGACCAAACCTAACCAGCCAACATCCAATTAACCATCTCTTTTCATCCAGTTATCCATCCAACCATTATCCAATTGATTTGTTTCCAATTAGCTTAAATCGGAATTTGTTTCAACCCGTCTTTGCTCAATGGGTACAAAACACCCACGCTTTAGCACCCGATTGGTTTTTTATTTTCTTTAGCCTAGGTTGTGTTGGTTTTAGTACATATTAAAAATGATTAATCAATTTGTTTCATTGTTGGAAAATTGGATTAAATTAACTTATTGGACGGATGCAATCTCACCGGATCATCCATTGGATGTTGGATGGATATGATCCGATGCAATAAATATCCGATAAAAATATCAAATGGATGGAACCAAATCGATCCAATCACCCATTGGATCCATTGTCCAATAGGGGTGTTCAAAAAATCTGTTGGACCGCTCAAACCAAATCAAACCGGACTGTTTTTTGCGGTCTGGCGGTTTGGTTTGGTTTGGAAAATAGAAAATCGGGAGGTCCGGTCCGGTCTGCGGTCTGGAACCTTTTTTGGACGGTTTGGACCAAACTGACCGCCAAATATATATATATATATATATATATATATATATATATATAGAG